TGTGCCTGACCCCAGCCATGGTATTTTTAATCACCTCATAGGCATGTGAAAGCTGAACAATGAATAAGGAAGACTGAAGAAGAGTTGATGCATTTGAATCATGGTGTTGGTGAAGAATACTGAATATACCATGGACTGTCAGAAAAACGAACAAATCTGTCTTGGAAGAAGCATAGCCAAAATGCTCCTTAGAAACAAGGAGGGCAAGACTTCATCTCATGTACCATGGACGTGTTATCAGGAGGGACCAGTCTCTAGAGAAGGACATCATGCTGGATAAAGTAGAGGTTCAGCAAAAAAGAGGAAGACCCTCAACAAGCTGGATTGACACAGTGGCTGAAACAATAAGCTCAAACATGGCAACGATTCTGCGGATGGTGCAGGACCAGGCAGTGTTTCGTTCTGTTGTATACAGGGTCGCTATGAGTCAGAACAGACTCGATGGAACCTGACAATAACAACATATATTTTATATATTTTGTTGTTGTTAGGTACCATCGAGTCATTTTCAACTCATAACGACCCCATGTGACAGAGTAGAGCTGCCCTATAGGGTTTTCTTGTCTCTAACCTTTATGGGAGCAGATCACCAGGTCTTTCTCCTGAGGAGCTGCTGGCTGAGTTCAAGCCTCCAATCTGTTGGATAGCAGCCCAGCACTTAACCATTTGTGTCATCAGGGCTCCTTTTATGTATGTGTAGCTACTCTCTCTATATATACATATACATACATATATAATGTCATATACACCTTACTAGAGCAGACATACAGTTGAGTAAAAAAAGAAAGTTGTGGAATAATAACCAAAAACTCATTGCCATCGAGTCTATTCCAACTCATAGTGACCCTATAGGACAGAGTAGAACTGCTCCATAGAGTTTCCAAGGCTGTAATTTTTATGAGAGCAGATTGACAGGTCTTTTTCCTGTAAAGCCGGTAGTGGGTTCTAACCGCTGACCTTTTGCTTAGCAGCCAAGCACTTAACCAGTGCACCACCAGGGCTCCTTTGTGGAATAATATGTATACTATAATCTCATTTCCACTCCTCTCCTTCAGAAAATAAGTTTTTAGGTGGGCTTCTGGGTGACTATGTCTGTGACTGCCAATCTATATGTGTGTTCTTGCATGGATAGAAAAAGTCCAGGGTATGAACACCAAACTGTTAACAGTGGATTCTCCTTGGGGCTGGGAGACTTTTGTTCATTTACTTATTGTGCTTTGGCATTGTTACGTGTTCGACCATGAGCATGCATTGCTTTTGCAACTAAAACACGATGAGCGAGAAATAATGATAGCTGACATCTGAGAATGTGATACAAGCTGGGCACTGTGCTAGGCCCTTTACATGCACTGTCTCATAACACCCTCCCAGTGACCATCACTGTACCCCAGACAAGGAAACTGAGGCTTGAAGAAGACACACAGCTAGTAAGTGCCAGAGCCAGGATCTGAACCCAGGACTACCCGACATGAAAGTCACTGCTCAGAGTGACATATGTGTCTCATAATGTCGTCCATTCATTGCAAGTTGCTTCACAGCAGAAAAAGGCTGCCAGTGCCGTGCTATGGAACTAAGACACCTGGGTGCGTGTCCTGCCAGCGGAGCTGAAGCTCGGTTTGCTGCATGCCCCTTTCCTGGCCCATCCCCCGCGCTTCTCGATCCTCACCATTCTTGGCAATCTCTCCATGTGTGAATTCCATTAAAGGCCTGCTCACTGCTATTCTGGGCTGTGCATTAGCACATGGACTCTGATTTGATGGGAAGAAGGCCAGACACCTCAGGATGATGAAAGAGAAATTACAGACGTCCTCTCCCTCCCCTCAGAGCCCCAGAAGCCCTTGCCCACAGCTCTTGGGAGGCCTGAGAATCTGATGGGAGGCAGGAACCTCAGAATCTATTAGGGACTTTGAACTGGGAATTGTCATCTCCCAGCTGCCCACATGGCTCACTCCCTCACCTCTTTCAGGTCTCGACTCAAACATCAATTCACCTTTCAAAAACAGCACCTCCCTCCCCACCCTCTGGCACTCCCTTAGTCTCCACCGCTTTTGTCATCTGAAATACCATATTCCTTTGTGAATTTACCATCTCCACCACCACTCTGGAGTAGAAGCTCCATAAAGGCAGAGCTGTTGTTCACAGCTCTACCCCCAGTACCTATACTGGTGGCTAGACGCTGAAGATACAGAGTAGATGAAAAAACGGAAAGAATCAATTCAGGAGAAAAGAACCAAAGCCTGAGAAATCACTTAGCACTGGGCCTAGTTTCCGCCCCCCCCAAGGATCATGGGATTATAAAAACTTGAACACCGGCGATCTGAAAACTCAGAAAAGCATCTCCCCTCCCCCAAGCTGTTCAGAATCCGGACTCACAGGCACCATGAATGAGAAGGTTTTGGGAAGTAAACACACTAGGAAGTCGTGTGCAGTTGGAGTTCCGCTTGCTAACACATGTTCAAAAACAAAAAGCCCAACTTGGATGAAAATAGCAGGAAGCTGTCCCCCAGGGATACATGGTGAGGTCATATTGCTTGGCTCTGCTGCTTCCATTTTTATCAAGTCTCCTGCCTTGTGACAACTCAGGGAGGCCAGGAATCACTTGCAGCCCCATGCTGCTCACTGGCTCAGAGCAGCCGACAACAGAACCACATCCACAGACGCTCAGAGCAGCGGACAGTAGAACCATGTCCATGGATGTCAGAGCAGCAGACAGTAGAACACATCCATAGACATTCAGAGCAGTGGGCAATAGAACCATGTCCACAGATGTTCAGAGCAGCAGACAATAGAACCACAACCACGGATGCTCAGAGCAACAGACAATAGAACCACAACCACGGAAGCTCAGAGCAGCGGGCAGTAGAACCACATCCACGGGCTCTCCTCTGGAACCTCCGTGAAGGGCCATAAAAATCACAACAGTGGTCAGTCACTCACTGTGTGCTCTCTAAGCACTCTGTGCACATTACAACCCTCACAACTGCCCCAAGAGGCTGGCATTACTATCCTCACTTTCCAGACAAGGACAATGGAATTCCAAGAGATCTGGTAATCTGTTCAAGGTCACACAGCTAGCAAGTCGAACTTGGGTCTCTGTGATTCCAGATGCAGGCCAGGAACACAAATTATCTTAGTCTCACCTCTCTCATAGGCTTGCTGTGTGACCTCAAACCAGTTGCTATCGAGTCTATTCTGACTCACAGTGACCCCATGTGTGTTGGAGTAGAACTGTGCTCCATAGGGTTTTCAATGGCTGATTTTTCAAAGTAGATCAACAGGCCTTTCTTCCATAGCTTCTCTGGGTGGACTCAAACATCCAACCTCCAACCTTTTGATTAGCAGTTGAGCACATTAACCATTTGCAGCACGTAGGGACTCTGTGACGTTAGACAAATCCCTATCCCTCTCTGAGTCAAAGTTTCTGCATCTCCATACGAGGGATGCATCCAGTGTTTTCTAAGGTGTCTTCCTGCTCTAACTTCTTATGACCTCTTGCAAAGGTTCCAAAGCAGGAGGGAAGGATAGGAACTCGAGTCCTGGGAGCACTGCTTGGCCAGCCCAATTCCTACAGGATTTGCCCATGAGATCAACACCATCACTTGGGCTGCCCAAGGAAGCTTAGGGGTCATTTGCTCCACGTAGGCTAGAACAGGACAGATTAGATCCTGTGGCCATATGGAACACTAAGGCTAGAGCTAGAGGGCTGGGTCCAGGAGAGACTAAAGAAGGTCCTGAGAGACTGTCAAGAACAGACCTTCGAGGATCAAAGGAAGGCAAGGAGAGCCTATACCATCTGGGGACAAAGCTGGCCAGGCCTGTTCCAGGGAAGTGGGAGAAAAGGAACACATTCCTAGGCTGGCTTTACTCTCAGGAGGAGCGTAGCAAGGATGATTGTGGTTCCCATCTTTCTGGCAGCCACGTATTGGAGGCAGAGGAAAGACACAGATGACATTACTGCACATAACTTCTTGAGTTGCCCTCTTACCATACTTCAGACACCACTCACCCTCCCTTGCAAGTGTCCGAAAAGCCCAAATTTGGAGTAATTTATATTCTTCCTTTCCACCCCAGGCGATCAGCCATTCTCATCCTTCTGGATATGGAAAGGTCCTTATCCATCCCTTTCTTGGCAATGATGCATTCGATTACTCATCTGCTTCCAGGGGCTCCAGAGGCTGCCAAGAGGAGACAGGCAGCTCTCCAAGCCACACAGCCTTATCTGCAATGTCTGTGTTGCCAAATGGAAGTGGGACCATTGGTGGGAAATACCAAAAGACTTCAGAGCCCCTGCCCCCCAGCCAAGGAAGAAGAGCTCTTCAGTGGCCAAAGTGATTGGGAATGGCTTCAGAACAGGCAACCGATGCAGCCATGCATTATGTCTACCACCTGGTCGATAACATGAATCAAGGTACAACAGTGCCTGATGGTAAATCAATGTGGGAATATTTCTGAGCCAGGCTGCCACCCAAGATGAATGAGGTTAGGAAGATGGGAGGAACCAGGCCCGGGAAGTCAGGAGACTGCTGATGATGTCCTTAGTGACAGGTTCTCCAATTTAGCTGACCCAGGACCGATAGAGCAGCCAGGGTCTGAGGCTCCAAATCCCGGCACACTCTGCCTGGCCTCTCTCCTCTCAGCTGTTTTGCCCCTAATCTCCTTCATTTCCTGCCATGTGCTAGGTTGGAGCTAGTAAGACAGCTGCCGAAGTTCCCCGTCCCTCCCTTAATTTCATACATACACACGTACGCAGCACTGTGTGCCTGCGGGGAGCTCTAAGAAGCCTTGGAAACACAGCCTAAGGAAACTTGTTAAACAGTATTTCACAGCAAGCCCAGAGATTGTGTTTTTGCAAGATGCTCCCCCAAAAAACCCAAGGATTGCGAGCTTGGGGTCACTTCGCTAACTGCTTCCTTCCAAAACAGTGACACCTGCGTCCGGCATTTGACCCGAGGCCAGAGAAGTTAATTGTTTTGTTTTAGACAAAGGAGGAGTCCACTTACTCATTCTTCTCCAGGTCCAGGATCAATTCTCTCCCCTCCGCCATGACGCTCAGCTCAGCTTTGAGTGGATGCTGGAAGTAATAACAAAAGAATGTCAGTTCCTACAAAGCGGGGCCAAGGCTCCCAGGGGTCAGCACAGGTCCTAGTGCAGTGCTCTGACACTGGTCCACAGGAAACGGATGAGAAAGGGTCAATTCCATTGCCAGCCCAAACATGAAATGACCTCAGTCCCAGGCAGCCAAATCCCCTCTCCCATCTGCCCTCTCTTGAAAGACAAAGAAACTCCAAGATGAAATGTGGTGTGAGTGTGTGTATGCTGGTCTGGGAAAGGGAAACATTGGAAAACACGTTCTTAGACAGTAAATGCTGTGTGGAGTCAGACAGATCTGAATTCAAGTCCTGGCTCTGATATTTGTTGCTGCATGAACTTGGGCAAGTTACTGAACCTCCCTACATCTCAGTTTCCTCGTTTATAAAATAGAAATAATAATATTAGTCAACCTTATGGGGATCTTATGATAATTAAATGGATAATGTATGTAAAGAATTTACCTCCATGCCTGCTACATAGAAAGCCTTCAATACATGTTAGCTCTCATCTTATAAAATACCAGGGGCACACCTATTCGCAATGGGTTTATTTTATTTTATTTTATCCTTCAGTTTGAATGCCCCCAATCATCTCAGAGTAAGCAACTAAGAACATCTCAAATTAAGAGTTCATACGATACATTTTACATGTAAGAGAAGATTTACTGATGGCCAAAGTTGGTACTTACTCAGAGTAGATCATTTAAGATATCACACAAATGGCCAATAAGCATTAAAAGCATGTCAACATCACTGGTAACCAACCCCTGCCTCCCCTCCAAATTCTTTTAAAGATAACCTGTAAAAAAAAAAAAGAAATCAAAATGACAAAGCTTTGTTGAAAACCACAAATCACAATGCAGCAGAGCATCATATAAAATGAACACTCCCATACATTACCAGGGAGAATTTAAATTGATACAAACTCTTGGGAAAATAATTTAACAGTATAACCAAAAGTTTTAAAATATTCATACCCTTTGACCCAGTAATATGTATAAGACTAAAGGAAACAAGCAGAAGCTCAGGCAAAGGTTTGTACACAAGGGTGCTCATTATTTATAATAATGAAAACTTGGAAACAATCTAAATGTCCAAAAAGAGGAGAACGGTTAAATAAATAACGATCTATCCATATGACAGAACCTTAGATAGTCATTAAAAATGGTGACTTTAAGTAACTTTTAAATTATTGAGAAAGTGTACATAATAAATATTAAGCAAAGTCTCAAAATACAACACTGTATATTTTATATAAATATACTTCTATAAAGGGAAAAAAGAGAAAAATAAACTAAAATGTTAACATAGTTATTTCTAGGCAGTGGGATCATGAGTTAATTTTATTTTGCATAACTTTCCATATTTTTCTAATTGTGTATATATTCTAAGAAATGAACTTTTTTAAATCTATTTTTACCTATTAATTGCAGGAAATTTCAAACAAATTAAAAAAGCAAGTATTAAAATAAACTTTGATGCTTCAACAATGTTAACTTAGGCCTGCTGAACTTTTTTATAAAGGGAAAAAATTAAGACTGTCGCCACCTCTACAAACATATTTATAACAGGTTAGATTCTTTAGGGTGTTTTAACTACGAGCTTTCTGACTTGAGACCAAGGAATTGATAAACTCTTGAAGTCCCTTTTATCCACAAAAGCCCTTGCTATCATGGAGCTCCTGCCCCATTTAAGGTCAACCTCAAAGCTTAGTGTTGGCATTTCTGAGAAAGTGGGTCACCTGCTTTGCTACCTTTGGCTGGGGCCTGCCTCTTCAGAACACATCCCCCTTCTTACTTGCTGCAAACTCCACTTCCTATTTGGGTTCTGGGCATTGCTGAGAATTTCAAGCCACTGAGCTCTCTGCTAAGATCTGAATATTCTGACCAAGGTTCTTGGGCAATGACAGCTCTGCCATTGCCTAACTAATCCTGTTACCTCATCTTAAGAAGGGACACCTCAAAGCCAGGGGGTAGGAGGAGGCGGCAGGGGCAGGGGGAGATGTGTGCCCAATAACTTTCACTAAGGGATTCGCTTCCCTGTTCCCGATGCCCTGACTCAGCTCTGCCGACACCTATTCTGGCTACTGGTTCTCTGCCACTTCACTCTGAGGAGTTCAGGAGCAAGCACTCTGCCCAATCATATTAGGCATCAGTGACACAGCCCCAAGTGGGCATCTGAGAAAGAGTACACAGCAACAGAGCTGTAGCAATGCCCTCATGCAAGAGGCAGGCAGCCATGTGACAGTTCATACAAAAAGAACGTTGACATAAATCACAGCACTGTCACCTCTCCCACAAAGAGACACAACTGCAACGTGAGTACTGATATTTATTTTTAAGTGGGTCAGCAAAAATATATCTCTTTAGTCTGGAAGGTGCTTAGACTCTGATATTTAAAATATGCTGTTCCTTGTTTCCAGGGTACATTTCAAACAAAACAATGAAATCACATTTTAAAGATGTGTGCAGCTTCCCTGTCCAGCTTTACTGATGAGCTTCTCTCTTGCAACACCACTCCATGCTAGGAAGGGGCAGCATCATCTCTCCTAGGAAATGTAGGATGCTGACCCACTGTTTAGACTTCCCCTAGGGAAGGGCTGGAGCCCTGGATGGGTGCTAACCAAAAGGTTGGAGGTTCAAATCTCCCCATAGGTGCCTCAGAAGAAAGGACTGACAATCTACATCCAAAAAATTAGCTATTGAAAACTCTATGGAGCACAGTTCTACTCTGACACACATGAGGTTGCCATGAGTCAGAAATGACTCCATGGCAACTGGATGGTTGTTTGGTAGGGAAGAGTTGAAAGTCCTTTCTCTTTAGGGCTAAATTAAATAGATCTTCAGCTCCCTGGAGGACTAGAAATCAGTCCAATATATCTGCACTCCCCTTAAGATCTAGTACAATATTTAGTATACAGTGAATATTCAATTAATATTTGTGAAATGAATGAATGAATTACATAAATGAGAGTAAGAGCCCCGAGTGAGACCCAGATTCTACTTGCACTCTCTGACATTCATCTGTTCATTCAAAAAATATTTATGGTGCCAGGCACTGTGCTGACTATTCCACAAAATACAATAACTCATATTCTGGACACACAATGGATGAGAACAAAGACAGGATCTGGGTCCACATTATTTCTCAGGCCCTTCCTGAGGATGCCCAGCAGCCCACATTTGGGAACAAAGAGGTCTCTATAAAGAGTATCAGATCCATTGCTTGGGCAATAATGGATACGTTGGAACACCCAAGATCTCTAATTTTTTCAAAAATAACCTGCTGTAAGAAGGCCATCCACTAATTTATCTAGACTTTTCCTGAAGCTATTTTCAGCCTCTCCTACTTTTTGGTGAAATGAATTCCATGCATTTAATGTCTTTTGGACAAAATGTTTACTTTTATTTGTCCTAAAATTTTCACCATGTTCCCTTAGTAAATCCAAGTTGGAGCATTTTTTGGACATGTCTGTATGACTCTACCTATAGCTTCAAGACTTTCGGGCATTTCTCCTTCTCTCTATTTACTTTCCAGACTCAAGATTCACAACATCTGAAGTCTGTCCTGAAACAGCTCTCCTCTCTCTCTCCTCCTGTAAACTTGCTCCTATGTGTTGCCCAATAAACCATAGACCTTTTGAACCCGAAGAGATCTTAGAAACCACCATCCACTCCAGATCTTGTTCCTTATTCCCTGTGAGCACTGTTTTATAAATTAGGAAACTCAAGTTCAAAAAGTGCAATGGCCCTGCCCGAACAGAAATGGACTCAGCCTGTTGAGGGAACAGGCAGAAGGCTGAGGTAGCTGCTGTTGTTAGCTGCCACAGAGCTGGTTACTGGTATACAACAGTCACATCTTATAGCTCCTCTCCAGTTCTTTCATGTATCACTTGAGGTGTGGAAACCAGGACCACAAAGAGTATTCTAGATGCACAGGTCCACTTTGCAAGAATAGAGTAATGTTTTCTGTCTTGTTCCCAATCCTGTTGATAAAGCCTGTGCATTTTGCTTGTATCCTGGCCCAATCAGCCTATTGAATTTTAAGATACATTTCCCAGTATTAGAGTCCCACCCTGCCTCTTATAATTTTTTTTAAATTGTTTGGATTATCATTGCTCTAAGGGCATTACCCAATCGGTAAAATGAAGCCTGCATTACGTAGAGTGAAAATAACAATGACAATATTTAATCAATTCCAACTAATAGTAGGTGATTTTGTTACACCACTACATTTGCATTTAGCTTACGTAAGCATTAACGTGAATTTTCACTTCCTCAGCTCACAGCACTTGGAAATGCCCTAGAATTTTGTCACACAAGGAAGGAAAATCCCATCTGAGATTTCCAAAATTGACAGAGAGGATGGAGAAGGCCAAAAACAGAACTACTGGGACAACTGGGCCTCCAGGAAAGGTGAGTAGGTGGCCCCAAGCCTCATAGAATCAAGGCATCAACTCCTGCCTCCCAAACAGCTGAAAATGAGAGCTTCTGAGTCTTACCTTTTCTCTCATGAGGCTTTCTGCAGTCTTCCACTGAGGTATTGTCAGTTCATGCTGTAGCTGGAGGCTGCCTTCCCCACTTTCTCCTGCCAATACAAGAGACTCATCGTTGGAATCCCAGACTTCCACATGCTAACTAAGCCACACATGCACTTTCTGCGATAACCACTGCCAAGTGGGAAGGACCCCATATTGGGTCTTTAGAAGACCTGCTGGATTCCAGGACAGACCTGAGTGTTGGTGACACAGCGGTAAACAGGGCAAACAAGATCTTTGCCCTTAGGAAGCTTATCTTCTAGAGGGGGTGATAGACAATCGACCCATATTCTCAGATGGTGCTGAATGCCCTAAAGACAATAAAACACAGTCATGGAATAAAGAGACACTGAGTGTGTGTGGGGGTGGGGGCTGTTTTAGACAGATGGTCAGCGAATATGGCATTTAACTGAGACCCAAGGGACCAGAAGAATGCAGCCATGCAAAGATCTGGGGAAAGAGTGCTCTAGGTGGGGGGCCAGCAAGTGCAATGGCCCTCCCCGAACAGAAATGGACTTAGCCTGTTGAGGGAACAGGCAGAAGGCGGAGGTAGCTGTCATTGTTGGCTGCCATAGAGTTGGCCCTGACTCATGGCAACCACATGCACAACTGAACAAAACCCTGCCTGGTCCTGCACCATCCCCAAGATCTATTGCATATTGGACCATCGTGATCCATAGGGTTTTCACTGGCTGATTTTCAGAAGTACATGCCAGGCCTTTCTTCCTAGTCAGTTGTAGTCTGGAAGCTCTGCTGAAACCTGTTCAGCATCATATAAACATGTAAGCCTCCACTGACAGACAGGTGATATCTGCACATGAGGTGCTTTGGCCAGGAATCCAACTGGGAATTGAACAGAGTCAACCACATGGAAGGTGAATGTTCCACTATTGAATAGCTAGAGTCTAGTAAATGAGAGGGGAAGTTAATAGGAGATGTGGTCAGAAACGCAGCCATGGGCCTGATAACATAGAGCCTTGTATACCATGAAAGGAATCAGGATTTTATCATAAATAGACTTGGAAGGCACTGGAGGTTTTAAACACGAAGCAAGTGATACCATCCGTATTAGGTTTTAAAAATGTCACCCTGCCTGGGTGGAGAATGGCTGGGGGTAGAAGCAGGAAAGCAGGCTGGAAACTTGCAGGAGCCCAGATGAGACATGATAGTGGCACAGACCAGAAGAGTGGACAACAGGGTCAAGGGATGAAGTGGTGGGATTCAGTATTTTGGAGGTCAAGCCCATGAGTCATGTTCCCACTAACCCTCTGTTTCATCTGTCAAACGGAAACAATGACATCCAATTGCCCATTCATGGCATTGTTGGAAGGAGTCAATGTGAAACTGCTTCCCACACCACCAAGTGTCATTACATTAACTCCAGCTTCGTGATGGTAAGTTTGCATTCGTATATCACCTTCTAGTTTCCAAACCACTTCTACCACCCATTTCTGCTTCATCCTCATAACAACCCTGAGAGGTAAGTAGTAGGATTCTTATTTTGCAAGAAAGGGAAGGGAAACTCCAAGAGAGCCTTGTTTGAGGCAGTGCAGACCTCAAACACCTGTTGAAAACGACCTTAAAACTCATTGCCATCAAGTCGATTCCAATTAATGATGACCCCATGTGCTGCAGAGTAGAACTGTGCTCCATAGAGTTTTCTTGGCTGTAATCTTGGGTGTAATCCACCACTCCTTTGTCAGTTTGTCGTACTGGGGTGGCTTGTGTGTTGCTGTGGTGCTGGAAGCTATGTCACTGGTATTTCAAATGCCAGCAGGGTCACTGACAGGTTTCAGCGGAGCTTCCAGACTGACACAGACTGGGAAAAAGGACCTGGTGAAGACTGAGTCCGAAACAACTAGATGGTGCCTGGCTACCACCACTGACTGCTCTGACAGGGATCACAACAGAGGATCCCGGATAAGGCTGGAGAAGAATGTAGAATAAAATTCTAACTCACAAAAGAAAAAAAAAATCAGACTTACTGGTCTGACAGAGACTGGAGAAACCCCAAGAGTATGGCCCCCCGGACAACCTTTTAGCTCAGTAATGAAGTCACTCCTGAGATTCACCGTTCAGCCAAAGATTAGACAGGCCCCTAAAACAAAACGAGACTAAATGGACACACCAGCCCAGGGGCAAAGACCAGAAGGCAGGAGAGGACAGGAAAGCTGGTAACGGGGAACCTAAGGTCAAGAAGGGGAGAGTGTTGACATGTGGTAGGGTTGGCAACCAATGTCACAAAACAATATGCACATTAATTGTTTAATGAGAAGTTGGTTTGCTCTGTAAACCTCCATCTAAAGTATAATTTTTTTAAAAAAGGACCTGGTGAAGTACTTCTGAAAAAACTGGCCAGTGAAAACTTTATGAAGAGCAGCAGAACACTGTCTGACATAGTGCCAGAAGATGAGCCCCTTGGGTTGGAAGGTACTCAAAATATAACTGGGGAAGAGCTGCCTCCTCTAATTAGAGTCAATCTTAACAACGTGGATGGAGTCAAGCTTTCAGAACCTTCATTTGCTGAGGTGGCACGACTCAAAATGAGAAGAAACCGTTGCAAACACCCATTAGTAATCACAATGTGGAATGTATGAAGTATGAGTCAAGGAAAATTGGAAAGAAGGAAGACCAAACTGCACTGAAGGCATTGTCGAAAAACAAGGCTCCAGGAATTGATGGAATACCAACTGAGATGTTCCAACAAATGGATGCACTGCTGGAAGCGCTCACTCACTTATGCCAAGAAATCTGGAAGACAGCTACTGGGTTAACAGACTGGAAGAGACCCATATTTGTACCCATTTTAAAGAAAGGTGATCCAACAAAATGTGGAAATTATGGAACAATATCATTAATATCACATGCAAGTAAGATTATGCTGAAGATAATTCAAAAACAGTTGCACCAGTACAGTGACAGGAAAATTCCAGAAATTCAAGCTGGATTCAGAAGAGGACATGGAATGAAGGATATCATTGCAGATGTCAGATGGATCCTGGCTGAAAACAGAGAATACCAGAAAGATGTTTACCTGTGTTTTATTGACTACGCAAAGGCATTTGACTGTGTGGATCATAACAAATCATGGATAACATTGCAAAGAATGGGAATTCCAGAACACTTAATTGTGGTCATGAGGAACCTGTTCATAGACCAAGAGACAGTTGTTCAACCAGAACAAGAGGATACTGCACGGTTTAAAATCAGGAAAGGTTGTGTCAGGGTTGTATCCTTTCACCATGTTTATTCAATCTGTATGCTGAGCAAATAATCAGAGAAGCTGGAATATGAAGAATAGGGCATCAGAATTGGAGCAAGACTCATTAACAACTGTGATATGCAGATGACACAATCTTGCTTGCTGAAAGCGAAGAGGACTTGATGCACTCACTGATGAAGATCAAAGACTGCAGCCTTTGGTATGGATTACACCTCAACATAAAGAAAACAAAAATCCTCACAATTGGACCAATAAGCAACATCATGATAAGTGGAGAAAAGATTGAAGTTGTCAAGGATTTCATTTTACTTGGATCCATAATCAACTTTCATGGTGGCAGCAGTCAAGAAATCAAATGATGTATTGCATTGGGCAAATCTGCTGCAAAAGACATCTTTAAAGTGTTCAAAAGCAAAGATGTCACCTTGAGGACTATGTGTGTCTGACCCAAGCCATGGTATTTTCAATAGCTTCATATGCATGCGAAAGCTGGACAATGAATAAGGAAGACCAAAGAAGAATTGATGCGTTTGAATTATGGTGTTGGTGAAGAATATTGAATACCCCATAGACTGCCAGAAGAACGAGCAAATCTGTCTTGGAAGAAATACAGCAAGAATGCTTCTTAGAAGCAAGGATGGTGAGACATTGTCTCACTTACTTTGGACATGTTATCAGGAGGGACCAGTCCCTGGAGAAGGACATCAAGCTCGATAAAGTAGAGGGTCAGTGAAAAAGAGGAAGACCCTCAACAAAATGGATTGACACAGTGGCTGCAACAACGCACTCAAACACAGCAATGATCGTGAGGAAGGTGCAGAACTGGGCAGTGTTTCATTCTGTTGTGCGTGGGGTTGCTATGAGTCGGAACCAACTTAATGACACCTAACAATAGTCTTTATAGAAGTGGATCACCAGGCCTTTTTCCAAGATGCTGCTGGGCGAGTTTGAGCCGCGAAACTTTAGGTTAGTAGATGAACCCAAACCGTTTTTGCTGTCAAGGGACCACATTAGTGAAATGGTAATTTCCCAAGACCTAGGCAAGTTAGTCTCCACAAGAATATGCTAAATCCATAGGACTCCTGGGGGTGGGGGGGGGAGGGGGTGGATGAGGATACAGGATCTATTCTTTCTGAAGCAACAGTATCAATCATGTAAAACATAACGAGCAATCTAAAAAGATGGCCGTAGTTGTTCTGTTAGAGTGATAGGATTATAACTTTCCTTTCCCCTGATATAGTGTGTTCTCAATCAATATATATTCTAAAACATAATCCCACTATACTAGCATTGATTTCATCTAATTGGTAAGTCAGACGTAGTACATTCATTTATTCACCAAATATTTTCTGAGCACTTACTATGTGCCAAGTACTATGCTCAGATAGATATCAATTGTTGAGCTGACCGATTTATGGCAGAATGAAACACTGCCTGGTCCTGCATCATCCTCACAATTGCTAACATGTTCGAGTCCATCGTTGTGGCTATTGGGCCAATCCATCTCACCAAAGGTTTCACTCACTATCGTTGGCCCTCTAGTTTACCAAACATAATTTCTCCTCTAGCAACTGATCCCTCCTGACAACTTGTCCAAAGGAAACAAGTCAATGTTCTGTTGCGAGCCATAAGGTTTTCACTGGCTAATTTTCAGAACAGATAGCCAGGCCTTTCTTCTTAGTCTGTCTTAGTCTAGAATCTCCACTGAAACCTGTCCACCATGGGTGACCCTGCTGATATTTGACATACCAATGGCATAGCTTCCAGCATTATAGCAACACATAAGCCACCGCAGTTGTCAAACTGACAGGGCTATACTGGGCACTTCATATTCATGGAGGAATAAGACAGGCATAGTCTCTGCTCTGGTGGCACTGAAGAGTCTAGATTATTTTAAGCAAAAGGGAATCATATGACATTTAATAGACTATTTAAAGAAATCAAATCATATTTATGGAATAAACATTAAAAGGAATCTAAATGCTCAATAATAAACACATTACATCTTAAGAAAAAAATGTTCAAAACTTGGAAATAAGGCAGAAAGCAAGCAGGATGTCCATTCAATGTCATCTTGGAGCACTGTTTACCAGGATTATTGGATTATCTAGGGAATGTATCTTCGTTTGACTTTCTATTGACTATTGATTAAAGGCCTAGCTTCTGTGAATTTATGTGCTAACTGTAGATTTCTGTCTGATGGAGATGCAAATGATTTCAGTGCAGTAAAAAGGTAAAGGAGTCCCTGGGTGGTGCAAATGGTTAAGTGCTTGACTACTAGCTGAAAGGTTGGTGGTTTGAACCCACACATTGATAGTTCGAACCCACCCAGAGGGCTTTGGAAGACAGGCCTGGAAATCCTCTTCCGAAAGGTCACAGCCTTGAAAACCCTATGAAGCAGTTCTACTCTGCACATATGGGGTCGTCATGAGTCAGAGTCGATTCTACAGCAACTAACAACAACAAGAAAGATAACCCAAGAGTTGTGGGTTTTTTGCCCCACTGGGCCATTTAGCACTTTTCTATGTGTCCTAGCCATCTGATTTCAGTTCTTTCTCCACTGCCCGTACATCCCCAGTTCCTCAATTGCTCCTTTGAACCCTCCTACTCCTTGCCTCATTAATGAATTGAATAAGTCTTTGCCACGTGTTCATTCTATACTTGAATGATAGTCATGTTTCTAACTTTTTGAAAATTATACTTCCAGGATCTCTCGATGGAATTTATAGAACCATTAAAAGCATGTTTTTGGAGAATTTAATGATGTGGGAAATGCCCATAATACAAAGTGAAAAATGCAAGATGCAAAACAGTGCATATGGTATGGTTCCAATTTTATCAATATATATGTATAGGAACACACATAAAGACTTTAGAGGAAAAAAAAGATTAATATCAACTGTGGATTTGGGGATAACAGATCGTTTTATTTCTTTTACGCTTTTCATTACTTTCCATATTTTCTCCAGCAACTCCACATCACTCAGTGGTCTCCAAGGGTTTAGAATTCAGAGACGGAGCCCGTGCTAGGATCAGTAACCGGCTTGCTTGCTTTCTTCAAGCTTTTCCCCTGCACTAAGTCCTATAGGGTCGTTATGAGTAGGAATCAACTCCACGGCACACAACAAACACTCAGGTCTCGTGCTAGGCTTTGGGGAATCAGAAATGAATAAAACGTGGCTCCCTACCCCTCCAGGAGCCCTCGGTGCCCGGGAAAAAGACAGCTTCCATGAACTCGCTGTGAGCACCCTGTGCCTCAGTTTCTCTTTCGGTACAAGACCTCAAAGAACGGTTGGGTCCGTCGGCTGGAGCGCCGAAGGAAAGCCGGACCTCGCCCCTGGAAGCTCCGCACCGTCTGGGCAAGCAAGCCTCCCCACTTAGCTGGAGTGCCCGGGTCACGCCTGCCGGTTGGTCGCGACCGCGGGGTCCCCTTGCGCTCCGCCCCGCCCCGACTGGGCCGGCGCTCACTTTAATTTGAAAACTCTGACAGTTGGTCCGGCAAGGCAGAGGTCTGGAGTCAGCCCAGCACGCCTGCGGCGGCGGAGCCAGGGCTGAGCTTTCCCAGGTCGTAAAGAAAGAGTCCGGGCACCGCCCCCCAGGACGGGACAGGAAAGGTGAGAGTCTAGGAAGGTAGTTGAGAAACATCGGTATCACTCAGCATCCAATTTGGATGCAGTGAGTCCAACCCCTTGGCTTCACAGAAGGGGAAACTCAGGCCCAAAGAACGCAGCCCCGGGGTGGAGCGCAAAGAAAGGCCGGATTTCCAGTGCCGAAGTGAACCCCAGTCTTTGGCAAGTCCTTTCCCTTCCCTGGGCCTCAGTTTCCCCGCCTGCAAAATGAGTGCGTTGGACTATATCTTCAAAGGGGTCCCGCCAGTGCAAGGGTCCGTAGTTAGCAGCCAGGGATCCCCAGCGAGCAGCCACAACCAGGGCTCCCGCCGCCTCCCAGTGGCATGTTGGGTCTGGGGGCATATCCCACCTCACCAGCGTGCGCCTGGCATGGAGTACGACCCCGGGACCCCGGCGCCCAGGCAGGTCGCTCCAGATGCTCGCGGTGATGCAACGGGTAGGCGAGTGAGAAGGGGCAAGAAGAATAGAAAGAGAAGAAAGAAGAAAAAGACAAAGAGAGATTGGGGTAGAGAGATTGAGAAAGACAGCGAGAGATTGAAAGAGAGAGAGGGGGGCGGAGTGGAGATCAGGGATCGTGAGAAAACGGAGGAGGAGAGACGGGAAGAGCAGCGGAAAAAGGAGCCAGAGCAGAAAAACAGAGGAAAGAGATCGGGATAGGCAAAGCAGGAAAGGGGCCGGTTGTCTTCTGCCCGGGGTCTCCCCGACAACCACCACCTCCCGGGACGCACAACGTGGGAACAAAGCCCTGGCTGGGGCCGACAGGGGCGCAGGCCGAGGGGAGTTGCCGGGGGCGCAGGGGTCGCGCCCCGGGCGCTCAGTGCGCGCAGGGCAGCTCCCAGGTCCTCAGGCCACCCAGTCCACCCGCCTCCATCCCCCCGCGCCCACCACTTACTTCTCGTCCATCCCTGCACCCGTGCCGCCTGCGGCCGGAGCAGCGGCAGAGCAAGCGCCAGCAAGCAGAGCCGGGCGGCGCCCGCGCCCCCGGGCATGGTGGCGGCGGCCCCTCGCGCTCTCCGCGCTCACACGCCCGCATCCATGCCGGTCACCCAGCCCGGCGGTGGCGGCGGCGGCGTCTGAAACCCACCACTCGCCCAGTGTCTCCCCGCCAGGCTCCCAGCCCTTGGCCGCGACGCTCCGCCTCCAGGGCTCCACCAGGGGGTGGAGGAGGGGACGCGCCCGCCTGGAGGGGCCTGGAGGGACCAGGGGCGGAGCCGGCAGAACCCCTAGGGAGAAGGGCGGGTTCAGGTAAGGGGGAGATCGGGGGAGGGAGAACCCGAGCCCAAAGAGGGGAAGGGATTCACTGTGGCGCGGCCGAGGGAGGGGCGGGGGGTTCAGGCTTCTAGGGGTTAAACTGGACCACTCTCTGCACAAGGGCCAGTTTAGTCTGTCCGCATGGTACCAGACGCCTTGGGAGACAGACGACTCATCCAGCTCTGTCTCCCAGAGGCCACCACTCTTGGCAGCAGGAGCCGAAAGAGTTAAAAAAAAAAAACAAAAAACCCACCAGGCATAATGAACTAAGTGCTATATGGAGTTGTTTTCTTAGCAGGACACAAATCAAGGAGCCATTCCTTCTGACTGGGAGGAGTGGGTGGTGAAGACAAGGAATCCCAGAGGAGAAGGCATCTGAGCTTGGGAGGAGAAGTGGAGCACCAGGCGGAGGAAACGGCCTAGACAAACGCCGGGGTGTGAAAGCTCATGGACTGTATAGGGGAAAACCAGTAGTTGGGATGGTTGAAGTTTAGGGCTTTGGAGGGAAATGAAGAGAGACGAGACCAGAAAATAATAATAATAACTATCACTTATTGAGGGCTTACTATCTGCTAGAAACAGAAAATAGCAGCTAAGACTGATAATGACCGCCAGGACTGATGTAGCACTTACTAAGTGACAGACACTGTCCTCAGCACTTTGCATATGTTAACTTATTTAATTAATCAAGGGAAAGAACTACCTTTTATTGGCCTTTAATATGTGTCAAGAGCACAACAATTGGTCTCTATTCACCTGGAGCAACAAAGGAAGAAGGAGAGTTAGGAGTAGGAGAAGGATATGGAGTATGTGGCTAATTGCCTCCGTGAACAACTGCCTCCTTTGCCATAAGACCAGAAGAACTGAATGGTGCCTGGCTACCATTTCTGAACATTTTGATCAAAGATTCCTTAGACGAATCTTTGATCAAAAGGGTCAGAAATTCACAACAGAATTTCAAAATCTCATAGATTCTAGACTTTCTGGAGCCATGGAGGCTGGATGAACCCCTGAAACTATTGCCCTGAGATAATCTTTAAATCTTAAATCAAAAATATCCCCTGAAGTCATCTTAAAACCAAACAATAGCTTAGCTTAACTAGTAAAAAAGTTCTGCCTTGAGCACTATGCTCTTTTAAGAACTATCTGTATGCAATCAAATTGACAGCAGCAGCTCTGAAGATTAGATAGGAGCCTTAGGGGGCAGTGAGTTTATGTAATGAGAGAGGAACAACCCAGAAAAGGAGAGTGAGAATGGTTGCACAACTTGAAGAATGTAATCAACGTCACTAAATTGTACATGTGGAAACTGTTGAATTGGTGTTAGATTTTGCTGTGTATATTCTCAACAACAACAGCAAAATAAATAAAATTTAGAAAAAAAAGGGATATTACCTGTAAATACAGTGCTACATTAAAAAAACATCTCTATGAGACCAAAAAGTCAACAATTACTCTAAAGCAGAGATAAGATAAGGAGGCAGGGCAGCTAGATACTAGCAATGGAACAACCAGAACACAATTAAAGAACATGTTGACACATTGTGGAAAAAGTAACTAATGTCACTGAATGATTTGTGCAGAAATTGTCAAAGGGGAACCTAATTTTTTGTGTAAACTTTCACCAAAAATACAATAAAATATTATCGTTAACAAAAAAATAAGTGCCAAGGACTCTACATATGTTATCTCTTTTAATTCACCCAATAATTATGTAGGGTGGGTACTAATATCTTCATTTTAGAGAGGACAAAACCAAAGCTGAGAAAGGCTAAGTACTTGCCCAAGGTCACACAGCTAGTGTCAGAGCCTGGATTCAAACCCACATCTGTATAACTGCAGAGCCTGGTCCAGCACACCTTATTTTATAGATGGAGAAACTGATAATCAGAGAGAAGTGACTTGCAAGAGGTGATCCCTTAGGAAATTTTGACAAAGCCTGGTTTTGGAACTCAAGCCTCCAGACCTTTTATCATCTATTTCTTTCAATGAACCTCTTTCTTCAAACCCAAGTTTACCCAACTAAACAAGATGTTGTTGTGTGTTGGGAGGCCAAGGCAGTGCTGAAGATGAAGGGCAGGCCTGTCAAAACCATCAGGCACTTATGGAGGAAGTAAAAGATGTGGTTCTTGCCATTGGTGTGTTTAAGGACTGCAGCCCTGGGGGTCATGAGACTAGAATTCTACTCCCACCTTTCTTTCCAAGTAGCTCTGCGACCTTGGGTAAGTTACTTCTCCTTTCTTAGTTTCTGATGGATGAACTAGGAATGATAATGGCTGCCCCAATCCATCTCACCCAGGATCTGTGAGGAGCTATTGAGATAATGGCAGTGAAAGTGCTATAGTATTTCTAGAGTCTACAAACACAGTGATGACTGAGACAGAGTCTCCACTACAACAACTAGGGTAAGGGAAGGGGGACCGCAGGACAGAAGGGGATAGGAACTAACAAGTAAGTTAGGTGGCCAGTCACACAGTGTCATCAAGTTTCTTGAATGGTGACTGGGTCCTTTGATTTCTCAACACACTGAGTTGTGGATAATAATCACTACCGTGTACTGAGCACCTTGACTGATGCCAAGAGCAGTGCTGATATTACTTCATTTAATGCCCATAATGATCCCATTAGGGGATAATATTAGGTCAAACCATATGGAATTGCTGGTTTTGTAGGTCAATGACCAAACATTGATGATTTAATATGGTTCAGCACACCCCGAGAGTATGGCCCTCCAACCCCCTTTTAACTCAGTGCTGAAGTCACTCCTGAGGTTCACCCTTCAGTCAAAGATTAGACAGGCCCATAAAACAAGACTAAATGGGCAAGGACGAGAAGGCAGGAGGGGACAGGAAATCTGGTAATGGGGAACCCAAGGTCAAGAAGGGGAGGTGTTGACACGTCGTGGGGTTGGCGACCAATATGTGTATTGTTTCATGAGAAACTAATTTGCTTTGAAAACCTTCCTCTAAAGCACAGTTGAAAAAACAAAAAAGTAAAAATTATGGTTCAGCCAAATAATAATAGTCGCAATTGATGGGATAAGGCGTGTGCCAGTGCAGTATCTCATTTTATCCTCAGGACACCTTTCTGTAGTAGACCCTGGTGGTTGTTAGCTGCCAGTTATGCACCGTCCCCGTGATCTTCAGTGGATCAAATCGTTGTGATCCATACAGTTGATTTTTGGAAGTAGATCACCAGGCTTTTTTTCCTCGTTTCTCTTAGTCTGGCAGCTCCACTGAAACCTGCTCAGCATCATAGCAACACACATGCCTCTATGGACAGACTGGTGGTGGCTGAGCATGAGGTGCATTGGCTGTGAATCGAATCTGGGTCTGTGGCATAGAAGGCAAACAATTCTCCAAATGAACCACCACTGCCCCCTCTGCAGTAGGTATATTGCTGATATTCCTACTTTATTGATGAGGCAACTGAGGCTGGAGATAGCATAGCAGAGTAACTTGTGCACATTGGTACAGAAGCTGCCCTGTTAGAGACAAAGCCTGGGTTCAAACCAAAATGTAACTCCAAAGCCACAGTCTGTAACCACTATGCTACTCAGATAGTACCACAGATGAGCAAACAGAGGCTTGGAAAGGGGCAGTGACTTGGCTGAGGCGGCTGTGGGCTCTCCTATGCCCAAAATTCAGCAGGCATTCCAGTTTCAAACTCCTTGCCAGCCAAATCGCTTTTTTTTCTTCCATGGCTTCATTGTCATTCATTGAACCAGCTGAATTCAGCCCATCCTCAGAAGCACTTACCTTAGGTGGTGCCCCTCAACTGGCAGAACAGCCAGGAAAGAGGCATCTATACCTGTTTGCATCCACGTGGCCCCCCAAAAAGTATTTTTAACAGAG